TCTAAGATGCTAAGATTCTAAGATTCTAAGAGTCTAAGATTCTAAGATTCTAAGATTCTAAGATTCTAAGATTCTAAGATTCTAAGATTCTAAGATTCTAAGATTCTAAGATTCTAAGATTCTAAGATTCTAAGATTCTAAGATTCTAAGATTCTAAGAGTCTAAGATTCTGAGATTCTAAGATTCTAAGATTCTAAGATTCTAAGATTCTAAGATTCTAAGATTCTAAGATTCGGAGATTCTAAGATTCTAAGATTCTAAGATTCTAAGATTCTAAGATTCTAAGATTCTAAGATTCTAAGATTCTAAGATTCTAAGATTCTAAGGTTCTAAGATTCTAAGATTCTAAGATTCTAAGATTCTAAGATTCTAAGATTCTAAGATTCTAAGATTCTAAGATTCTAAGATTCTAAGATTCTAAGATTCTAAGATTCTAAGATTCTAAGATTCTAAGATTCTAAGATTCTAAGATTCTAATATTCTAAGATTCTAAGATTCTAAGATTTTGGGATTCTAAGATTCTAGGATTCCATGATTCTAAGATGCTGAGATTCTAAGACCCCCTCCAGGATGCCAGGATTTCAGGATTCATTCTAGGATCCTGCCATTCTAGGATTCTGCATTCAAAAATAGATCAAAAGTACTGCTTGTGATAAGGGGGTTTTATCTAGATCATGATCTATTTCATTAAAATCAACGGGTTGCATCGCGCGTTTTTCGCTCTCCATTTAAAACTTTGAAACTCAGCCAACGAAGTTCGGCAGCAAATTTAGACTTTTTCCTAAATTTACCGGGGCGCACTTCCTTACCCGCTCGCTTGAACCCAAGTGTCAATTCCCATTGGAACCCCGTTTTCAATTGTTTCCCTTAATTTTGTTGCCCTCCTTCTCTTTTTTCAGATTAATCACACAAAATTGTTTTTTAAGAGTCACACTACTCATAAATCATATCGAGTATATCCTTCCTTTGTAAATCCATGCAACCCATAATCATAAACATCTCAATCATTAACGTTTTCTTCTTTTCTTTTTGCAAAAAAAATTGGTTCCAGCATTTTCTCCAGAAGGCGCGAAGAAGAAAAAGAAGACGTTTGTCTTTTTCACTTCTTCTTTTTTCGACCAATTTGAAATTAGATATTCGTTTTGTTCTTTTTCTCTCTACTCGTTTTCACTTCTTCTGTCCATTTTAACCTAATTAGTTGTTTTGTGTTTCTTTTTTTCTTCCATCACAATTTTTGACATGTCCTCCCCGTCAAATATTGCTGTGGGAGGAATTGGAGGAAATTTCCATTTTTTTAGGTTTGTACTTTTTTTGGAATGAAATTAGGTTTCGAATAAAAGTTCATTAGTTTTCTGAGTCATTTGGAGGAACCCTTTTGGGAATTCAGAATAATAGAAAAATTGTAAGTTTTAGTTTTAATATGCGATTTCTCTTTCATTTGAAGAAAATTCGATGAAATCCGTTTACTTGCATATAACTTTCTGACTGTATTTATGATTTTCAAAAACATTTTTCAGTTTTCATCAATTTTTCAACTTCAATGCCTTTTTACAGTACTCCGGAAAAAATCCCCGTAAAACCTGTAATAGCTGAGTCTCCACACTGCCCGGTTTGAGCTGAATTATCTCGGTTCCTGTGCAAGATATCAAAACAAAAGTGTCAACCGATAAAATTTTTGTGATGTTATGATAAGCAACTTATCAGTTGACAGCTTTATTGTATTTTCGACAAGAATCAAAATATATTTACTCAAAGTTAGGGTGCTTTCTAATACAGATTTTTCGACATCTCATATTTTTACTTCCCCCAGTGGAAGATAGTCCACTTAGAACTCTTAAAAATTACCCCAGAATTTTCTGATTGTCCTGAAAGTTTCAGATTGTACAAACCAAAAATAAAGCTTCATTTATGTATTTGACAACTTTTTTGCACAAGTTCAACAAAGCGAGATAAGCGGTTATGAATCAGTACTGGTTCATTTCAGGGCTAATTTTGGCACATTTTGTTATAAACATCATATCTCATTAGAATGAAGTTTGGCAAAAAAGTTGACAATCACAAAAATAGAGTAGTACATTCGTTTAGTGAAATTTGAAATTTTCAGAAAAATCGAAAATTTTTGGACTACTTTTTCAGGACTCTAAAGTTTGTATTTTCCATACTTCTAACAGACCGGGCCGGGCCGGGCCTTGAAAATTTCCTCAGGCCCGGAATTTTACAAGTATGTATAGGCACCACAACATAATTTTCAAAATAGATATTTTTTATTTTTATTGTTGGATTCTCTTCTCCACTCTTATAGAAGTCCATTCCCAAAATTTCAGCGAAAAATCTTTCTCCAGACACGAGTTACAGACCCTTTTCTATCAGACCTCAATGTACTGACTTTCTCCTCATTTTTTTGCGGTGCGCAGAAAAGTGGGCGGGGTTTAGAAGCTTGCAATCCTGCGGCGCGGAAAATTCAACGAGGAAATTAAAGAAAAAGACAATAGAAAAAGACATTAGTCAATTTGTCAGTCCCACTCCTATTTTTCGAAGTTTTCGAATCAAAATAATGAAAATATTGGAAAACGAATAGTTTCATTCGATTTTTCGTAGCCGATTACATAGGGGAAAGTTCTAACCCTAAAAATAATGAGTTTCAAACGCCCGGTACAAGACTTCAAAGATGGGTTTCTGAAAAGAGGAGAAAAATTTGGTCGCCCCGCCCCCTTTCATTGCGGCGCCTAAGTATGTATTTTCTATTTTTCACTGGAAAAATCCAAATACCGTATTTCCTCTAATAGAAGCCCACCTCTATTTGAAGCCCACCACTAATAGAAGCCCACCCTGGCTGCGCATTTTTCTTAGGGGTTAGTGCATACATACTTGTTTTTGTTTATTTTTCTGGTACTTTCTGTTAATTCTTGTCGTTTTATAACTGTTCCAGTTCAGTTAAACACCGAAAACCCTCTAATTTGAGCGTTTTTTCAAATATCAGTCCACCCCCAGAAGAAGGTTAAAAAATAGAAGCTCATGAGCCTCTATTAGAGGAAATACGGTATGCGTCTTTCGTCCGGCACCGTATCTCGGTTTCTATGAAATGTATCACAAATCTGTAAACTAAAAAAAAGTTGATGATATTATGATAAATAATTTATCAGTTGACAGAATTTTGAGATCACTTACAGAAATTGAGAAAAACGAGCTCAAAGTGCAGGAAGAAGCTAAAAAATGTCTTATTATCAAACTGTCTGAATTGCTTGCACCCACCAACATCCATCCATTTTTCTCTTACGTAGTGTATTGACAGTAGTGAGGTATTGTTTCAAGTACCCAAACATGAGAGTGCAAGAATCAGTTCTCCTTACTACATCCCCCATTGCTCTTTTGACCCACTTTTTTTGCACCCAAAAAAGAATCCCCTGGCCACCACCAGCAGACGATGAAAAATTGCAACAATCTTTAACGACGTCTTCTTTTTTTGGGAGTCGAGATATAAGTGATATAGTGAGTGACGTCACAAAAGAAGACGTATTTTTTCTCCCACTTTTTTGTCAAAAGTCGGTTGGGGGTATCCCCCATGGGACTATTAAGAGGAAGAGGGAGAAAAAAGGAAACATGAAATAATAGTTGCCGACTTTTTGTCACCATTTGCAACATTTGAAGAGGAGAGACGCAGAGAAAACAGACACTCTCGTTTCTCTGCGCTCTCTTTGTATGCTTTTTGTTTTTCAAGTTTGGAGCATTGTTTTGAGAACTTTTAAGCTTTGAATACTTTTTTGAGCATTGCGGTGTAAATTTTCGAAATCTGCATAAAATTTCCGTCAAAATGAGTATAAACACGATTATAGTTGAGAAATTGAGTAGACTGAAGATTTTGGGCCGCGGCCTGAATGATTCAGACCACCGCGGGTCGATTATACTCATTTTGACGGGATCTTCGAGTTAAGCTTGAATTTTTCAACTTCAAAAATCTAGAAAAAAGAAAAAATGAGTATTTTTCATAAGTTTTATCAGTGAAAAAGTTTATGATAGCCTTAACTGAACTACCGTATAACCTGTAATAGAATGGCAATTAAAGTTTGAGCTAATTTATCTCGGTTCCTGTCCAAGATATCAAAAAGTTGTCAACAGATAAGTTGTTTATCATAATATCATCAATGTTTCATAAGTTGACACATTTTTGATATTTTGTATGGGAATTAAGATAATTGAGCTCAAACTTGATAGTGTAGAAGTCTATTGGGTTTAAGCTAATCTAGAATTTTGGAATAATTCAACGATTATTTTATAGTAGGACACAAAACACAAGTGCTCGATGAGCAAAAGCAGAAAGAAGAACACATGGGAATTAACAATCTAAAAGAAGAATCAAGAAGTAAGCCATCATCTGCCCATCATCAGGCAGCGGAGGTACCTAGATTAAAATAGAACATGACAATCTGTCGCCGACGTCGTCGTTAAAAGATTGTCTTCTGATTCTTTTAGAAGACGTCGTCGGAAAATGAGGAAGAAGTATAAGAAAAGAAGACGTCAATTTCCCAACGGAGGAAACGTTCTACACACATATTCCGAGCCGTCGTCTCAGCATATATACTCTTTTCTAGAACCAGAACAAAAAACTAGAAGACAAGTTTTCTTGCCCATTTTTCCAGGATGAACATTCATCAAAAACACTGAAACCGAGTTTTGTCTTGTTTTATGAAGTGTTCACGATTCTAGGCCACTATATTCCGGTTTCTAGGCCACCAACAATCCCCTTTTTATTTCCAAATAATTCATCTAACTCAAGTCGACACCCAATGTCATAGATGCATAATAGATTAGGTTTATTTTTGGGGAAGAATAGGGGTAAACAAATTTTGTGATATGTGAGGGACGCAGAGAAAGCAGACACTCTCGATTCTCTGGGATTCTAAGATTCTAAGATTCTAAGATTCTAAGATTCTAAGATTCTAAGATTCTAAGATTCTAAGATTCTAAGATTCTAAGATTCTAAGATTCTAAGATTCTAAGATTCTAAGATTCTAAGATTCTAAGATTCTAAGATTCTAAGATTCTAAGATTCTAAGATTCTAAGATTCTAAGATTCTAAGATTCTAAGATTCTAAGATTCTAAGGTTCTAAGATTCTAAGATTCTAAGATTCTAAGATTCTAAGATTCTAAGATTCTAAGATTCTAAAATTCTAAGATTCTAAGATTCTAAGATTCTAAGATTTTGGGATTCTAAGATTCTAGGATTCTAAGATTCTAGGATTCTAAGATTCTAATTTCTTCAAAACACTTATTTTTGAATTGTTCTTCTAAAAAAAAGAACAATGTGAGTGTATTTCCATCCAGCCTCCCATCTTGTTGTATATTTATGAAATGTGTGAAATGGGCCGTGAAACAAAAAAGTATCCTTCTCTCTTCTCGTTTCTCTTCTCGGAAACAATTTTCAGAGTAGAAAATCCAATTTTTTCTAGAAAAAAAATATATAATTGTTTTGAAAACAACCTGAAAAAAAATCATAAAAAATAAAAAACCATTGAAAAACGGGGGGAACTAGAAAACGAATGCATTTCGAATTGGTTTTCAATGTGTCCTCTTCTGTTTTTTTTCCCTTTTTGCTTTTTTTTCAAATACTGAGTCATATACAAGACCTGACAGCTCTTTTTGCCACAATTTTATATATCATATATAACGATTTTTCATTCAATATGGTTATTCCGGAGCCTCAAAAAATGTGTTTGGTCCATCTGACCAAAGTCTAAAAATAATTAGAATCGTCGTAAAAATTTGAAATTCACCACATTTGTCCCTTTTTGTTTCAACAAGTGTCTGTGTATGTTTTGACAGCATCCTCGGGGTGTCTCGTGGCACCAGAAATTGACTCCACCCACTTTTTTTTGTGTATGTTGTATCCTTTTTAGTTTATATTTTGACATGACCAACTCAGAAAATGGGTGGCCATCTTTATTCTTTCTGGGAAGCTATCCGTTATATTTTTCTTGGAAGAAAGCAAAGTTTTTTTCAGAGAAACAGTCACTCAAAAATTTGGCTTAAAATCCAGGACGGCCAGCATGGCCTAATTTTTTTTTCTTCACTGGAGTTCTAGGCCACCACCTTTAGATGCATTAGATTAGTTAGGTTATATACATATTTTAGCAGTTTTGACAAATAAAAACTTCAAGAATTGTAAGACGCAGAGAAACGAGACACTCTCGTTCTCTGCTCTCTCCATCTCTCTTTGTCGCTGATGTCTCCAATGTGCTTCAACTTTGCAGGCGCGTAACTCAAAAACTAGTAAGGTTATCAAAAAGTAGAAAACTATCAAAATGTGTAAAAAATTACAATAAAAATATGATAAGTTGACAACTTTTTTTAGCTAACCTAGTTTTTGAGTTATAGCTGATTGAAGTTACCATGCCACTCGTGTCTGAAGACACAGTGCCCACCAAGTCGTAAACTTTGAGCTCAATTATATCGCGTTCTTCAAACGATATCAACCAATTTTTACTGGGAAACTGCTTGTCATAATATCACCAATATTTTATCAATTGACAGATTTTTTGATACCTATTGAAGGAACCAAGATAATTGAGCTCAAAGTTAGGTGGTATTCTATTGGAGGAAATACGATATTCTAACATTCAAACCCGAATATTTCATTTCCGGTGAATCATATCAAAAATGTGTCAACTGGCAAACTGTTTGTCATGATATCACTAACATTTTATCAGTTGACAGATTTTTTCTTCCACACGGAATGAGATATATGGTCTCAAATTTGATATTTTGGGTGGGCTTATATTAGATAATACGGTATTCTAGCATTCAAGTCTCGGAAAATTTTGGACGTCAAAATTGGTTTTTTAAACGAAATCATTTTCACCGAGCTAGTAAACTTTCCTAGAAGTTGTTTCTCTCAAGATTCCTACCATTCAATTATCTGCTCATCCTACATATTTTTGACTTCCTCGTTTTTTCCTGTCTCCCGAAATAACCCTACAATTCCAGATGCTAACCCCCACCTTCCACACTAACCCATCATGTCTTCTTCAAAAAGCGAAATCCGAAGAAGTCGCTCCCTCAACATCTTCTAACAACAGCAGTACCACCACTCCACCTCTCCATCGTCGTGCACTAATTCGTCAATGCGCATCCGTGGAGCCGCTTCAAGCGGAGCCCGCGTCTCCAAAACGTCTTCGTCCCAGAAGTCGTTTGGAGAACTTGCGAAACTTTCTCCCGAAACATTTGCGAAGTGTCACTGTGTCGCCGAGTAAAATTCGTAGCGAAACGATGCACAGTTTACACAATTTGCATAGTATTACTGTAGCTACGGTAGCCGAGCCGGGAATGTTGAAGAAGAGCATCAGCGAGTTTGTTATTGGGTGTAAGTTTTTAAATATTTTTGTTGTGGACTTTTTCGATCTGATTAGATCCTGTATTACTGTATATTTGCTTTTTAAACTGCCGCCATTTTTACTACGATTTTCTCGAATATTTTGCCATATTGAAATTAAAAAAAAAAATACTCCGGAGTACCATAACTCTGAATTTTCGAAACCCGAACGTTTGGAACCTTCTAAAAAAATTTCTTATAACATTTCAAAATTCTTTTTTTTTTAGATTCCCTGAGAATTCCAAATCACTGTAAAACCTGTAATAGAGGGGCCCTCGCACTGTCTAGTTTGACATTAATTATCTCGGTTTCTGTAAGAGATATAAACAATGTGTCAACTTATAAAATGTTTGTGAAATTATGATAAAAAATCAATCAATTAACACCTTTTTAATATCATTGACTGGGATCGAGATATATTTACTCAAAGTTAAAAGTCAGGGGTCCTTCTATTACAGGTTTACGGTAGCTCCAATCTGAAATTCCGTTTTTTTTTGTACTGGGAACTTCAGATTCTTCAAAAAGCAAAACATTTTATTTTCAAAATTTTGAATGCAAATTCCAGACCCTGCCAATTCATTTTCGGCAAAATTTCTGAACAAAAATTCCTTTTAGTAGTTTTTTCAGCGATTTCTGAATCCATCTGCTCAATTTTTTTGTGTGTCTATTTTCTTAATCTACAGTAATCCCGCGCGGTTCTCCTTTTGAACTTTTTTTCTTTCCTAATCCGAATACTTTGTCCCTTTTCAACGTTCATAATTCATTTTCTTCGTTTTCTCCAAACTCCTTTTTTTACCTAATTCCTTTCCTTTTCCAGCTAATTAGTTCCTCTTTTTTCATCTCCAAAATAACTTTTTTGGAGAAAAAAAAATAAAAAAAGAGAAAAAAAATTCCGGAAAGATAACAATGAGTGTTTTCTCTCAAAAAAAAAATAGAAAAGACGGGATTTTACTCAAAAGCGAAAAAGCGAAAAGATCACAAAAAAATTTATGTCAGATATCGTACGTATCGAATTTCAAATCTAGGTACTTCCTTTCGTCTTCTCCACAGATTGCTCAGTTTGTTTCGCGCCGAAGTACCTAACAGCAGCACTTTTGCTCTCCCGACAGGAGTGAGCTCAACTATTTTTCAAGCCAATTTTTTTGAGTCTTTTTTGGTCTAGAAGGGAGAACGCAGAAAAACGAGACTGTCTGATTTGTCTGCGTCTCTTAACGATGAGATATGCATTCTGAAACAATTTAACTTATCTAAAAGTTAACGGATTTTTTAAATTCCGAATTATTTTTTGCTGGGTACAGTACCGGACCAAAACCTACCATACTTTTACATTTTCAGCTATAGTTTTGTAATTGACAACTTTTTTGAACAAACCTAACCAACCGAGATGAACCGTTTAAAACCAACCAGGTTCCGAAAATTGCAGAATTAGCATTCATATCTTATTTGGATGAACATGCACAGAAAATTTGTCATTTACAAAAATGAAGCTCTATTTTTGTTTAATATACTCTGATAATTTCAAACAGATCAAAAAGTTCGAAAACAGTTTGTTTCAGGAATCCAAAGTTAGCTATTTTTCACTGAAAAACTGAAAATTCTGTTTTTTTTTTCAATAGTAGTTCGGACCTGTACAAGCACCTTAAAATTGAGTTCATCAAATTTTTATCATTTTTGGTAACAACTTTTTGATGAATTTCCCCTAGTGTAGCTTACCATAAGACCTGCAATAGAAACTTCTCCACACTGTCAAGTTTGAGCTCAAATATCTCAATTCCTTTGCAAGATATCAAAAATGTGTCAACTGATGAAACACTTCTGACATTATGATAAACACTTTATCAGTGGACATCTTTCTCATATCTTTAACAGGAACCGAGATAAATTGACTCAACATTTAAAGTTAGGGAGCCCTTCAATTACAGGTTATACAGCATAAGAGACGCAGAGAAATAAGACATTCTCTCTTGTACCTTCCTTCTCTGATTGTTCACACTAATCCTATACCATAAGTGCTGTTTCTTATTAACTGCCACTTCCAATGAGTACTCCTCTACAGTAACCCGATATCATTTGCATACATAGAGGAATCCCTAGACCACCCCAGCTGATGACGTTCCAAAAAAAGATATTTTCGCTTGAAAAATCGTAAAAACCTTTTCATCTTCGTCTCAAAAAGTGACATCTCCTGTTCCTCTTCTTTTCGCAAAAATAAGATGAATGTTTCGTCTCCAGATTTAGGACATGTAATTTTCCTTCATCTTTCTTTCTTTTTTTTTTGACGTCTTCTGAAATTCTTCGCCATCTCTGAATTGGCTCATTTCCTGTGTTGGTTTGGCCACCCCAATATGGCCCCATTTCTGAAGAATCGTATCAAATTTCTGGAAAGAAGACGAAGCGGAAGATGTGAAAGACGAAGAGTCATATCTGAAGACAAACATTAAAAATAGGAAGAAGAAGAAGAATTGGATCCCACCCGTCATTTATGCACTTCTCACTTTTTGTGGAAATTTTTGAATTTCGATAAAATCGGTCAATTTTTATAAATTTTGATAACGTGAAAAACATTTCTTGCGATCGAAAAAACGACTTAAATTTCTCTCCAATTTCAGGGAAAATGTTAATTTTAGAACCTAGAAAATTAGCTAAAATGTACAGTTTTTTTTCTGAAAATTTGAAACCGTGAAACCTGTAACAGAAGGGCCCTTAACTTTTAAGTTTGAGCCTATTTTTCTGGGTTCCTGTCAAAGACATAAAGAAGTTGTCAACTAATAAAATGTTTGTGATATTATGATAAACAATTTATCAGTTGACGGATTTTTGATATCTTTCACAGGAAGCAAAATAATTAAGGTCGAACTTGATAGTGTGGAACTTTTCTTTTACATTTTAATGGTAATTTTTTAATCGATGTTTTGTTCCAATTAACGTATTTTTAGGTCATTAAAATTGCAAGTACCTGAATTTAGGATTTTTTTTTTCAGTTTTTCGCAAAAAAAACAACTGAACCTTCTCTGATCTTACTATCTTCTAACACCATTCTTTATTGCTCACTTCCTCTTCTCGCCTGAATTCTCACTTTCCCCCTCAAGTTACAGTATGACATCACTACTCACCGCTTCGTATCACTCACTTCGGGCAAAATCGCCGATAGGTGATCTTCTACCCGGACTCAGACCATCCACGTCGACAGCATTGAGTAGGTGGAGGACCCCTTTTGTTTCTGGACATTCCGAAAATTCCTAAAATCTCATTCCTTATCGTACCTGCCAATTACCATGAATTTTGATTGGCGCGCGGTTTCCATGGTGATAATTTTAATGGGGGTTTTTTTGAGAATTCTTCTCGAAAAAGTATTTTGGCTCCACCCATTTACACGCCTACATAAAACTGCTACCTGATAAAAAACCTTTGATAAAAAAGCGACTATTCTTTCTTGATATTTCTAAAGTACCAGAATGGCAGATTCTAAGAAATTGTGTAAGTTTTTTGCTCTGAAACATGATTGCTTATCAGTCCGATTGGGAGCCCAGCCCATGTGGCTCTAGATGAGAATCTAAACAAATTCGGACTATAGGATCAGAGGTAATAAAGGATTTATCCCTTATCATTCTCCTAACCATTTAATAGGAATGGGAGCCACACCGTGTCCGTAATTGATCGGTTCCCGATAAGGCCTGCCTGTATTCGGTATGTTTTTTATATGATAAAGTTTAGATTAACAAAAATACTCTTCAAAGGACCTAATAGAAAACCTAAAGAACTCGATTTGAACCCCTCTCCCTCCAATCAAGGAATCCTCTTGGAACACTGATAAGCCTAGTGATAGGCGGTGTGGTCGTATCCCTCTCTCTTTCTCTCTCTCTCTCCCCTCCATTCCCAACATCTCCCACCGAGCCGCCCGAGAACCCTTCTATTTCTCTGCCATCTCTCTTCTGATTCTTCCCGCTCTCCCGCCCTTCGCTTCTGGGATTTTTGTTTCCCGCGGGCGATGGATACAGAGAGAAGAATCGCAACGGCACATGGCGCAGCTGTCGTCAGCGAGACTGCGTCTCCTCGATTCTAGAAGGTATCAGTGGAGGCATCCTGAAGGCCCCTGGCCGCAAACCAAGGTAAAGAAACTGAGCAGAAGGAGTCACCAGCCACACATACACTCACTCGCCTCACTCCTACTCTTTCTACTCAGTTCTATTCTCTTCTTTTGTCGCGTCTTTTCTTCGAATCGCCGCTGTGATCAGTTATCGATTGATAGTTGATATCTGACATTCACATCTTCTGACCACATCTCGCCAAATGACGCGTCTATGAAGTCACTATTCTCATCTGGAGCGTCGCGCAATGCGTCCCACCAACAAAATACACCCGGTCCATCGACAGAGCGCAACAATCTGCTCACGGTTCCCGAAAGTCCGATGGCAAGGCGGCGGGAACTATCCGAGGTGTTCGAGAACTTCCGACGGAAGAGTATTTCCGAGTTATCGTTGGTTATGGATGCATTGAGAGGGTCACCATCACCAGGATCCTCACAATATATTCATCCGGAACGGGCGTCACAATCAACTGGGAATTTGAATCCGCCGCAGTCCAAAAAGGGAAGGAGGAGGCGGAAAGTGCAAAAGACATGGCAGGCCATGTCGCCTGGCAACTTTTCTAAGCAGTTGCAATTGGGTAAGAACTATGACTTGTAAATTACTGTATATTACTGTAACTCTAATTCATTCGATTCTTATATGAGTCGCTTAAAATATTAACTGTTAAAAATGGATCATTTTGTCAGATGGCGAAATGTTGCCCAAATTATTAAGCCTATTTTTTTAAAGATCGCGATTCGTGTAGATCAAAATTAGTCACTTTACTTTGTCAATCTTATTAGAATTTTGTAAAAATCAAAAATTGCTGTTAGACATCAATTTTTAAAAATTGATTTGGAAATCACAAAATGTTTGCTACAAAATGTTAGCATTTTGTCAATCGATAATATCCAAATGTCGTAAAACCTGTAAACGAAGGCCCCTTAACTTTGAAGCGATTTATCTCAATTCCTATGCAAGATATTAAAAATGTGTCAACTGATAAAACATTTCTGATGTTTTGATAAACAATTTATCAATTACCAACTTTTTGATATCTTTCACAGCAACCGAGATAAATTGGCTCAAAGTTCGGGAACCTTCCATTCCAGGTTTGAGCTAAGAGAATACATTAACCGTAATTCATGACCTTTGTTTCCAAAACGTTTTGGAACATAATGTCCCTCACTGCAACAACTTTCCCGTTGACAGCTACTGCTGCTGCGCATCACCGAATGCTCTTTTCTCTCTCTCCTGCTCATCATCATCGACACCGCAAATGTTGTAACCTAAACTTTCCGTCGTCTTTGTTTTGTCCCGGTGACATCGAGTAAAAGTGACGTAGTTTCGAAGAAGAATAAGAAGTAAAGAGGAACAGATACATAACACATAAAAATGGTCAAGAATGAGGTTAGGAGAGAGGGGTTTTCTGGTAGGACCTCTCGAAGAAACAAAGACTGCTTAGCAATGGGGAACCATTATTTTTCAAAAGTTGTAACGTTTTTAGCTTATAATTTCAAAATAAGCAACTTTTCAATGGTAAATATGAATCTGAAGAAATGTGCCAATTTTGAAACTTTGCTAAAACAAACAGATTTCCATACAAGTCAGTTTCGCATTCCCAGTGCTAGTATTATTTTTAATATTCTTATCAGTTTGTTACCCGAAACCTGTATTAGAAGGGCTCCGGTGATAGAAGGGCTTTTCTAATACAGGTTCTACGGTAGTTTTTGTTCCTTTTGTAAAAACCTACCGTCAAAAAATCTGTAATAGAAGTAGCCCCATATTTTTGATCCAATTTACCTCGGTTCCTGTCAAAGATATCAAAAAGTGGTCAACTGACTAAATATTGCTGATATCATGATAAACATTTGATCAGTTGACCACTTTTTGATATCTTGCATATAAGTTAGCTCAAATCCAACAGTGCCCTTCTATTAGAGGTTTTGCAAAGCTCGTGCCTTCCCAACCCAATGAAAATGTATTCAGTAGACATCCCCATCAATAAATCAAATCTCCTGTTTGCTCAAATAGACGATTAAAATTCAGAAAAAAAGAAGAGAGGACACCCCAACCACCGCCCAAAATGTTTATTCTCGACTCCTCCCTTCAAGATTTTTTATACGAAAAAAAGCAGAAGAAGAGGCTACCCTCATACACCAAAAGCACCATTCATAAATAGCACTCTTTTTTGTTCTGAAGAGGACATTGAAAAATATAAAATATTTCTCCAAAAACATGGGATTCCTATTCGATAGGTGTATTCAGTATTGTCGAAGGACTGTGGACAGGTACCACGAGGGTAAGCGCGAAATTTGAAATTCAAATTTTCTTGGGGAACGGGTAACTCTGGAAAAACATGCGGAAATTGAGTTTTAAAGAGAGTAAAAGATGGGGGGGGGCGTCTTTTTGAGACTTGTCTTTAAAAAACACTTATTTTTGCAGTACAAGAAGAAAAAGCGATGCAAGCAGTGCCGACAGCGCCAATTGATGCGAGCAAGTTTGTGGCGTATGTACAGGAAAGGCGCAAGAAAAGGATACTTTTCAAGGGAGAGTATTTGGTGAGTCGATTTTGATTTAATGGAAAAATTACCGTAAACCAGTATGAGAAGGGGCGGTCTGCTATCTTTCCGATGTGCCTTCGGAGGGTCCTTCTTTTAGAGGGACCCTTTGTTAAAGGGGTCCATCTAATACAGGTTTTACAGTGATTGAAAAGAACATTAAATTTTTAAAATTTTTCTATTACCTACCGCTTTCGAATACCTCGAACTTTTACAAACTTAGAAGGACTTGAAAATTAGGACCCGAATTTCATAATGCTTAGAAGTGTTGATTAAAATTAAACTAGTGAAAACAAAATACACAGAAAATTAGATTTTGATTATTTTGCTTGCTGAACTCAACCGTTTTCACCGTTGCAAACTTATAGACGCCTGAAAAAAAACGAGATTAGGGAAAAAGGACAAATCCAATTTTTCCGGGAAAAAAGCTAAATTTGAAGTCATGAAAAAGTATTCTAAAATCGTTCAATTTTTTCTGAAAATATCCAAAGGTATTAAACGAAAATAAGTCTTTGATTTTGTAAACGGATTTGAAGAAATATCCAACCTGGCGTGATAAGTGGTTCAAAACTTTGGCACTACCCTAAATGCTCTAACCCTTTATGTGCACTTTGAACTGAATTATCTCGGTTGCCATAAAAAATATCAAAATATTGTAAACTAATAAAATGTTGGTTATATTATGTTAAACATTTTATTAGTTGGAGACTTTCTCATATCGTTCACAAAAACTGAGATAATTAATCTCAAAGTGCTCGTATTGAGTAGGCTTCGGTTAGAGCATTTACGGTATAACAAACGGCATAAAATCATCCGAATGGAAATTGGCAAAAACTTTGCCAACTACAAAAATTGAGCTCTGACTTTGTTAGTATACTCTGAACTTTTCAAACAAATCGGAAAATTCTTTGTCTGGTACTGTATGTACTTTTGAAATCTTTCTTTTTCTATTTTTTTTTGACAAAACTACCAAAGCTACAAACGATCAACAAATCTCCGTTTTAGTTTTTCTCTGAAGTCGTTTCAGAAATCTCGATCTAATTTTTAACACTCTCATTTTTTGGACCAATCTCTCTTCCATGACAAATGACCCGGTTACTATAGTCGATGAGATGCTCCCCCACTCAACCTTCATCGAATGAAAAATTGTTCCGATTCATCGCCAGTGTCAAGCCTTTTCTTCAGATCCATCGTTCATTTGCTTCTTCTTTTCCTCTCCTTTTCTCTCTGTGATTAAGTGCCAAAGCCCTGTCGTCACTCACTGGATGTGCATGCTAGTTGGGGACAAAAAGAAAAAAAGGGGGATGAGCAAACGAGAGAGGGCATAAAAAATAAAACGGACGGGGGGACCTCTAACCTAGCAGTAGGACCCTCTTTGAAAAATGAATTCTAGGACAGGGAATTGAGAGGTTTCGGACTTGGAGATAGCTGAATTTACTATCACTTTCCGAAGCCAGCAACACTGAAATGACTCCTGTAATGTCTAGGTTGACCCAATTCATAAAAAAAACAATAATTGATTGTTAAATAAATTTCTTAATGTATTAAGCAATTTCCAGATGGTCAATCGCTCGATAGACAACAACAAATGCCGATGTGACGTTGGAAGCACGATGACGGATAGGAATCCGTATCCGGACACTCTTCCATACGATCATAATCGAGTGATACTTCCAAGGATAGACAACGATGAGAACTCGCATTATATAAATGCCAGTTATGTTAATGTGAGTATTGGAAAACCTTGAGTTTTTGAAAACCTTGAGGACCACCGGATTTTAAAGTTTGAGCCAATTTATCTAGCTTCCTGTAAAAGAGAATAAAAAAGATATGAAAATCAAAGATATGAAAATGTTGTCAACTAATGTTGTCAACTGTCAAAGATATGAAAATGTTGTCAACTAATAAATTGTTCATTATAATATCACAAACATTTTATCAGTTGACACATTTTTGATATCTTGCATAGGAGACAAGAAAAATCAGGCCACACTTGACAGCTCTTTTACGGTATTACATGTTTTACGGCATCTCAAAAAGCTATTAAAAATTATTCAAATGTTAAATTTTTTTTTAATTATGATAAACGAAAATGTTCAAAAGTTAACAATATTTCAATATGGCTCACACCTTGAGCAGTAGCCAAAGTAACAACGATTGAATGAAGGGGCCAATTACCGTTTATGAACCCAATCCTATATTTGAGCTTTGAACTCAATTATCTCGGCTCCTATGAGAGATATCAAGAATCTGTCAACTGATAAAATGTTTGTCATAATATCACCAACATCTTTGTAGTTTACAGATTTTTGATATCTTTCACAGAAGTTGAGATATTTAAGCTCAAGGTGCAGGGCGGTGTTAGAGCAAGGTAATAGCGGTTGAATGGAGATTAAAGTAACCTAAGAGGTGATAACCTTTGAAACTTCCGGAAAAAACGGATATTGAACACAAATCAATTGTTTTCATTTTATTTTCTCTCATGGCTTTGCCACAATACGTGTGAAATATCTCGTCCTCAATTGATAAATGACTTTTTCTCCTCAGCAGACACATGCGATCAAATAATCCCCCCTCCCTTGCTGCCCCCACTTGATTTTTTTTTGTGCTCCTCTCCTGCATCCTGCTGTCAGGTGTCTTTTTGATTGAAAACGAGCTAAAAAAAAGAACACGCAATTATTGGGGCACCAGGGGCATTTTATTACACCCCTGATGATTTTCCGGGAACAATTTATGAGGGAAGCAGGGATAAAGAGGTCAAAGAATTTTTAGTTTTTTGGGTTAGATATGGAACAATTGTTAACTAACTAACTTGCATTAATTACAATTCTTGATATCTCATCGAAAAACGGGTATAATTGGGGTTACTGTAATTGAAGCTTTCCTATACCCTATATGTTTAATTTGAGCTCAATTATCTCCGTTCCTATGAATGATATCAAAATCTGTTAGCTGATGAAATATTTCTCATGTTATCAGCTACATTTTATTAGTTAACAACTTTCTGGTTCCTTTTACGAGAACCGAGATAGTTAGGCTGAAAATTAAAGTATCCCTATTTTGAAGACAACTGCCGGCCTTTCAAAACTTAGCCGAATATTGCCGATTCTAGCACTTTTTTAAATCGGATTTTCAAAATTATCAACTTCAACTTTTCAGAGTTGGCTCAAAGATAAAGCGTACGTGGTAACGCAGGCGGTGCGGACAAAACCGATGAACGCCGAATTCTGGCGAATGGTGTGGGAGTTAGGATCCAATTGTATCGTTATGCTCACCAAAGTTTTCGATTTCATGAGGGTAATTTTGGTTTTCACTTTTTTTGGAAACTTGGAATTTTTTTTTTCCAGGTAATGTGTCTTCAATACTGGCCACAGACGAAATTTCAATTTCGAGAAATCGAAGTGGAGACGACGGAAGTGAAGACGTATTCGCACTTTGTGAGTTTTATAAACAGGATTATAAATTTTTGATTAAAATTTAGAAAAATTTACATAAAATTTGATTTAAAAATGTCAAAAAAAGAAGAAAAAATATATCAAATTCAAATATGCCTGCCCTGTCAGCTTTGACCCAATTTAAGCACTCTAGTTGAAATCGTATACACAGTATACTTGCACTTTGAGCCCGATTATCTCAATTTTTAAAGAGATATCAAAAAGTTGTCAACTAATAAAATGTTTGTGATTTTTTGATAAACATTTTATGAGTTGAAAAATTTTTGATATCTGTCACAGGAACCGAGATAAATTGTGTCAAAGATGACCGACCGGTGCAAAGCCTTGATATTATTAATTTTCAGGTGATTCGAACGTTCAAACTAACACGGAAAACGGAGGAATCCATTGAGACCCGAATAGTCAAACACTTTCATTTTACCGAATGGGAGCTCGACTCGTTTCCATACATCTCCGCATTCATTGAGCTCCGTCGGCGTGTACGTCAGTTTATGGAGAAGAGCCCAGTCGATGCTCCAATGGTTGTTCATTGCAGGTTAGTACACATTTTCAGTGATACTGTGTGAATTAGATTATAATTACTGTCGTTTTGTGATAGATATTGAGAATATTTAGTTCCCTAAAATTTATCCTAAAAATTCTCCTACCAGAGCGGAGATATCGTAAAAGCTAAGATTTTGAGCCAATTTATCTAGGTTCCCGTGAAAGATATTAAAAAGTGGTCAACATGCGAACTATTTTTGATATTATGATAAACATTGTATCAGTTGACAACTTGTTGATATCTTTGACAGGAACCACAAAAAATTGGCCCAATGTTAAAAGTAGGAGGGATCTTCCATTACAGGTTAGACGGTAATTAGGATAACAATGCCGGTAGTTGTAAAGGGCGATGCATTTAAAACATTTATTTCGTAAAAGTGGACCCGTATTTAAGAAAAAAAGTTTTAAAACAATCAATTATCAACAACACGTTTTCGGTACCGTCTCGCTGTTGAGCGACAATTAGCCAATTTGAAATCTCGGCATTGCACTTTTCGACAAGTCAACGGGATTCGAGATTTTGATTGTTTCGTGAAATCTTTCATCCAGTATTCAACCTGAAAACATTGTTTCTTTGTCTAACAACTTTGATTTTGTCCCAAATAGGCATTTTTGGTCCAATCTGTTACTCAGTGAAACCAAGCCTAAGGCTATCCAAGTTACAGGCCACACAAGGTCACCCCTTTCTCACCTGTAACCTAGTAAACTCTAGTAGATAATTAGACGCAGCGATTCCTGTCTCATCGGGACACAACCTCTTCAGAATGTATGTCGAGCATGTGTGATCGCAAAGAAGTTGACGACATCTGGAACATTCTTTTTGGCTGGTGCACCTTTGACGCATTTTATCTCAAACCTCTGTGAGTAGCCATCCTGAGTGTGTACGAGAGCTTTATAACCTCCACATCTTGGACGACAATGACGGATGAGGGCTGGCGCGGCACGAGCGTAGCATGGAAGATGTTGCAACATCTGGAGATTTATGTGTCATAAAACTTTTCTGAGCGGGGGTTGTGTGGGCTTAGGTCAAAACAAAAAACAAACCAAACCTCGGGGAAACGATTTCGGCAAACATATTCTCGAAGATTGAACTGTACAGAATAGCCGCACTCGTCGATGCATTGACTGTGTTGGTAGTCCAGCATACAGAACATTTCCAAATCTCGTTTCTCCACGACACTAGGGACGTCGATGGATCCGAATGCCATGTGGGCCTGTAGGAAAATTTATTTATTTATTTATTTATTTATTTACGATTGCAAGAATCGTGGAAAAAAAAGGAAAAAAAACATTAAAATACATGATAATCAGATTCCAACAATGAACATAGAATAATACATAGAATAGAGGACAGAGAGTAGGGCCAGAAAATTGAGCAATTGCTCTGCAGTAACTAAATCATTTTACTAAGCGCCCTATTGACGAAAAAGTGTTGCCTAATTTTTGTTTTAGCTCTTTTCCATTTGTACCTTGATTTTGATCTTGTTCGATTATTTGTGGACACTTGGAAAAAGTCAGTCTGGTTTAGACCCACTTTTCCTAAAACTTTTCCTAAAATTCGCTCTATTGAACGGTTAAACTTTGAACCGATTAACCTCGATTCCTGTTAGAGATATCAAAAAGTGCCCAACTGATAAAATGTTTCTTGTATTATGATAAACATTTTGTCAGGTAATCATTGTTTGATATCTCTTACACGAAAATAGATATATGTTCTCAAAGTTGACGGTTTGAGGTAGGTATTATATTTTTCTAGTAAATTCAAATTCACCGTTAATGCTACCATAGGGCGCTAGCCCACTTGTAAACCTACTTGTAGTTTGAGCTCAATTATCTCAATTTCTATGAGAGATATCAAAAATCTGTGAACTACAAAACTGTTGATGCTATTATAACAAACATTTTATCAGTTGACACATTCCGAATATCGCTTATAAAAATTGAGATAATTGAGCTCAAAGTTGACTGCTTGAAGCGCTGATGAAAAGAATTTTTTGATTTTTAACTTTGAGCCGTTTTATCTCGGTTACTGTAAGAGATATCAAAGCGTGGCTAGCAAATAAAATGTTGCTGATACCATGACAAACATTTTATCAGTGTGCAACTTTTTGATATCTCAAACAATAATCGAGATAATTGAGTTCAAATGTTACGGTACCAAAAAAAGCACTCACATTAACCATATCCATTCCAATATTTAGTTGATTATTACATTTTTGTAAACACTTCGCATCGTTCACCACCTCATCTCTCCGTCGGGAACCGTCCACTGCAAAAATGTATTGAATCCCTGGATACCAGATTTTCTCGCCATTTTTTTTGACGCCGTTGTATGTAAGACAACAAAAAACACAAGAAAGATTGAAATCAGAAAGAAGAAAGTGCAAGTGAAAGTGACCATTTAGATGGGTATCTTTTATGGGAAAATTCTTTTTCATCTACTTTTCAAAGTACCGTAATGACCCGGATACCCCTACAGTAATCCCTTACCTGTGCTTTTTCTGCTGGAACCTGAATCTTCCGTTGAGTCGTAGTCGTCGTCATACTGCTTTTGAATCCGAGCCAAGAAGAATCCAGTCGGGCCGCGTCTTCGGAATCGGGCTGCAAAAAATGAACAAAATTGTTTTGTTTACTTTTGTGGTTACTGTAGATTCTTACCTCTAGGCAACCTAGAATCCACGAGATCAATAACAGAGACTAGAAGAATCATGAGAAGCCATAGCTGCATCTGAAATAAAATAATGTTTAGAAGTCGTAGTGGAAATTCATTCATAAGACTTGGAGGAACAGAAGCGGTCAAGTATTCAAGGGCAACGGGAAAATTGGCGGGAAATGTAGGGGGTACTTGAACTTGAAAAAACTGTCTGAAGGACATGAAAGAAGATTTTCTGAGAAATAAATATAGAAATTTTTGAAATTGTGAGTTTGCAAAACAATAGAGCAAAATTAATAAAGGCTTCTTTGATTCAGGAAAATTGAGGCCTGTCGAACCTGGGATAAGGCTTGGTTTTTTCAAATGCTCCTAACTCGCTCCGACTAAAATATACCTTACATTTGTTAATTAGTAAAATGTAGAACATTCAATTTTGCACATTTTTTCAATTGACTATTTTTTAATAGCTACAACTTGAAAAGAGTTATGAGCTCTAGAAATGGAAAGTCGCCCTAGAGAGCGGGAGAGAGAGGGAAGGAGGGAGAGCGCGCAGAGAAATGAGAGCCTATGACTTCTCTGCGTCTTTTTCTTTCATCATTTGGAAAATCATATTTTTGAATGTTGGTACAATATGAACCTTGTTTTTTGCAAATTTTCACAATTACTCAAATTTTTGAAATTTAAAAAAAAACAAAGGTCCTCAACAAAAAATAATTTTTCGAAAATTGCCTCTAGTGGCTTCTGTCCCTCCTAATTTCAAAATTTTTTGACAGGTTCTTGTGGTCTTCAACCTTTTTTCTTCCTCTTCTTCTTTCCTCCTTTCTCAAAATTTTTCGACCGTAATTACATGTCATTCTGGGCAAAAAAATAGGTCGAGAGTAAGTAAAAGTAGAGGAACATTTTTGCAAAAAAAAATAGAAGACGAGCTAGAAAAGAGGAACAAGGGAGAGGGAAAAACTATTGATCTTGTCGAAGATAGTTATCCGAAATTCCACAACTGGTCAGTAGTAAATCAGATTGTGTATGTTGTATTTCTGTTGTATGTCTCTTTCCCGGAGAAATTATTATGTCTATATTGGAAACTGAGGCAATGAGAGGAAGCATTTTTATGCTCTATTTGGTTAGAAATCAAGAGAAAATAGTGTGTGGAGAAAGAGACACAGAGAAGTCAGAAAGTCTCGTTTCTCTGCGCGCTCTCTCCCTCTCTACTGCTTCTACTTCTAGAGATCATAACACTGTTCAAGTTGAAGCTATCAAAAAGTTGTTAACAAGTGTAATTTGAAAATTTCTACGCTTGTCATTTCGCCAATTAGCAAAGAATTGGTATATTAAATTTGAAGCGAGATTTGAAAGCTGGAGGAATACAAACTTTGGACCTCCACACCGTCAACTATGAACACTATTGTCTCGGTTCCTATGTAAGATATCACAAATGTGTAAACTCACAAAATGTTGATTATGATATCATAAACATTTTATTAGTTGACCACTTTTTGATACCTTTTACAGGAACCGAGATAAATGGGCTCAAAGTTAGGGGTCTTTCTATTACAGGTTTTTTTGCGATTTAAAAAGACATTCACCAAAAAAAAAATCTCTGCTTAGAATTAAAATGATAATAGACAAATGAAACAAAGAAACGACTCCAGAAAAGTGGGAGGAGCCTATTTCTGGAGAAAAAGGGTATCGAAACGCGGCATCTTCGGAGTCAATTGGGGGAAAAAGGGCAAGAAAAACGATTAGGAAATTTTCAACTTTCTCCCTTATTAGCAATCGTCTTCCGTATTCGGTGTGTTCAAGGAAAAATAATTATGAGATTTATGGAATCGGAGAGAGAGAGGTTTTTTGTTGATAAATGAGTTCAGAAACGAGGGTATCTAGATGGACAATATGGGCTGAAAACAGTTATAAACTTTTTTCTGGTGCCTGGAAGAGAGCGGAAAAAGCAAAACAAATGTTCAAAAATACGCAGCGCTTTCAGCTCAATTATCTCGGTTCCTATCAGAGATATAAGAAGATGAAAATTTGAAAATTTCTAACTCTGCCTCAAAATTTGTTGCAAATTGGAAAACTATGTATGCTTTACACAGAAAAAATTAACTTTAAGCAATTCGTAACTTTTTCGTGTCTGGCGGAGAGATTTTCACAGAAATTTCTTGAATACGGTACTTCACTCGTTTTTAAGGTGAATAACTTTTTTCATCAGAAATTCAGGTCAACAAAACAGATAAAATTTATTGAAAAAAAGTAAAAAAAACAACAACAAAATAATAACGTGAGATATATTTCCGTGAACCTACAGAAGCGATCCCGAGATCGCTTCTGGGAGTTTTGAAAGAAGAAGCCTGAAAAATAAATATATTAATATTTCCCGTGAACCTACAGAAGCGATCTCGAGATCGCTTCTGGGAATTTTGTAAGAGCGAAAAAACATCCAGAATCGATCTCTTGATAAATTCTGTAAGTTCACGTAAATCTGCCAATTTTCGAAAAATATCGTGAAATTTTGAAATCCACAAATTTTTCATTCTG